TAAAGAACGACATTTTGACAAAAATTTCAATTGTACGCTCACGAACGAAATCCAATATATACAATAAAGGGACGAATTTCTTTAGCCCTCGGCAGGATACCATCGGAATCTTTTATGTCTATGTCACAAACATAGACTATTGGAATATATATTATTAATTATAGAAAATATAGAATGTGTGTGTAAAACCTTAAACAATGAGAGTATAAAAATATGTGTAAAGAGAACAATTTTTCCTTGTACGTGCATTAATCTTAACAATCCTCTTTAACTTAGATATCGTAGGATAGGATAAAATACCTACAGTGAGTGCACAAAATATTCATACAGAGAAAATATTTTTTAAAACTTTATTTTTAAAAAATAAATATTATCCAGCGAGAAATGAGTCATCGAATTGATGTCGAATCGATATACATTCGATAATTTCAATCAAATCATGAATGACATCGATTCGACGTTTAATTGACGATCATTTCTTGTTACATAATTAACAATTTATTTATAAAGAATAAAATAGACTATGTTTCTTAAAATTATATAATATATATCAAAATATTGTGTATTAATTATACAAAATATATCATCTAAAAAATAAGCGAAAATTAAAAATTATATTGTTTGAATGCTCAAGAAGAGTATAGACGAGAAATTTAGCTTCTACAATCAGGAATACATGCGAAGCTTGTTTGTTTATGATATTAGAACAAAATGTATTCATTGTATAAAATTGCTAATTAATATTTATTTTCTACAAAGATTTTTTTTTATAACAAATTTCTCTGTACAAATACTTTTGCTCTCACTCTGCTGAGATAAAGTAAAATGAACAGCTCGACAAGTAGAGCAACTGAAAGAGAAAAGTGAAAGAATTTGAGAAAATTTTAACTGTTAATCGAAGAAGGTACTCGATAAAAAAATATCAATTATCTTTAAAAAAAGAGATATTTAATTGTAGAGTCATAAGAATATGATATAGCAATGTTATAACAATGAGCTCGTCTAAGGTGAATTGGAAGGCTTGATAAAGTGGATAGATACGTAGTTGATTTATCTAATAAACAATTCTGTGCAGAAAGATGATAAGTACGTGATAAAGGGCTAGGCATTAATCGAAAAAAAATTTATATTGTGAAGTTACGAGCTCGCTCAAGGCGAAATGAAGATCTCGACGGATAGAGAGCCGGATAAATCGACAGGCAAGTGATATAGAGGGTGAAAACTAGTACACTTCAATAAGTATTAGCTTATCGGTAGTACTATCAATTTAAATGTATATATGTATGTGTGATATATTAAATGTAATGTCACATTATTAAATTGATAATCAATAAGTATTATATATCGCCCTTTATTTAAAAAAATATGATCTTTGAATTATCATGAATGAATTAAGTAAATATTACTCTATCAATCATCAAAACTTATAAAGTCTAACTTAGCTTCATAGAAAAATCATTTAAATTAAAAAAAAAAATATATATATATATAATTAATTATTTAAAATAATAATAATCAAAATTATCACAAAAAGATAGTTTTTGTAAGGGTTATAACGAAATAAAAAAGATATTTAATTATGTTAAGAATATATATTCTTTTTGCTAATATTATTTGCTAATATTAGTCAATAATTTTCTATTAAGTTGAAAAACAGTTTTTTCCTTTTCTGAAAAATTTAATTGTTTGTATCATTCATTATTTTTGAAGTAAGGGAGTAATTTCATTCATTTGCTACAGAACACAACTCAGTTTTCTAAAAAATGAGTTTGAATATTTTAATTATTTTGAATTATTTTGAAATTTTGTAATATTAACTTTAAAATGCAATTTTGGTGTAATAAATTATTGATTGCAGAGGGAATAAAAGTATATTTTTTTCTTTTTTCTGTGCATGTTTCCGAACTTATAATCTACTTCTGTAAGCAAAAATGATTTCTGAATTATGTCATGGACTGCGTTCCGTTTCACGCATGATGCGCATGATGTATCTTTCTTTTCATTTTATCTTTCTTTAATATTCGGTAAACAACAAGGATATAACATGAATATCATGCGTGAAACGGAACGCACCTATTGTTACAGTAATTGGTTATAAACTGATCACCAATTTAATTATTATATTTCCAACATAAATTGAATTTCAAAACTGAATAAATAATCGGATAATTCAGAAGCAAAAAAGGCTGACAAAAGGATGACAAAATTTACAAAAATTATTGTCAAACATAAGATTCTACCTAATAATAAAAAATGTTAATATCCATTCCATCTAACTTCATTAAACATGATGAGGACACGCTTAATGAATTTGTTAGTCAAGTGAACCATATAAGAGATTTCCGTGATTCCAGATAATCTCGAGATAACTTGCGCGACGTTCACGTGAACATCTCGAAAATAACGATAAGGTGCCATTTAACAAATACAAATAACAGATGACATAATACCGCGACGTAGACCCGACGGGATCTGCGACGGTCGAAGCTGTCAGAATGATCCTCGATTTAACGTCTAATGACAAGCTAATAGGAAGTCATTCCGAATGATGAGGGATAAGAGGAAAAGTCTAGAGATCCGATAAGTTTAATTTGGCATACGAAGAAACGCAAGCGAGCACCATATGGAACTTCAAAGAAGAGCTACAAATGAATCACGTTTCTCCACTGAATGTTTAAAGAATTGCATTTATTCTATAGATGAGATAAGAGTGACGCATCCCTGACATGCAAGAGAATATTGGATCCTGTGTGAAAGGAAAAATGACATTTGACATATTAAGAATATATTCTATTTGTTAATATTATTATTCAATAATTTTCTGTCAAATTAAAAAATAGTTTTTCCTTTTTTCTAAAGAGAAAATTCACAGTTTTGCAGAAGCACTTTAAAAGTTTTGGTAGATAGAGATCTAAAAATGATTTTGTTGGACCATCAAAACATTTTAAAATTGGCTATGTTCAACAGAAAAAATAGCTTTGCAACTGTTATACAATTTTTCATTATAATTTAAGTTTTATTCTTCACTGGATCTAAATATATCCAGTTACAATTAGAATTTTACATTGAAAAGAAAATCAGTTATATTAATTAAAATTCTAGTTAAAAATGAATAAATCAGGATTTTCTAGTTGAAAGAATCTTCTAATTCGTTCATTTTTTATTACATTTTTACTAAAGTTATAAAACTGCTTTTTCTGATCGCAATCATACTGTAAGATGTTCAAGATGGTTATTAAAATGTCAAATTTTTTAAATATTGCTTATCATGCTTGAACGTCTTATATAATTATTTTAATAGTTCAACAAAATCATTTTCAAATTTATCTATAAGTTTGCAAATATTCCAACAAAATCATTCTTTCCATGTGAATATCTTATTGACTAAGAAATATCTTCTAGCGTTCTAAATCACAAATACGTATACGCTATTCAGGTCATAGGAAAGATAAAATGAGACTCCATAGATTATCGAAAGTAAAAAAGAATCTAGTTTTTAAGCATATTATAGCGGACATATCTCGGAGTCGATAAGACGCGCCGACGTGGAAATTTGTCATAAACATTGGACGTGGACTTTTTCTTAAGGAAAAAAGAAACTACAAAATTATCGAGGCGTCGTTCGAATCTAATGTCTCAATTCGCAGAATCGAGAATCGAGTCCATTCAACTCCTGCAGGTATACACTGAGAAAAATGATGTGGTTGAAAATGGATAAACAAAAGAAAATTTTAGTAAATTTAACTAGAAAATTTTCAGGTTAAGTCTAAAATTCGAATTGAAATAAACAGGATTCTGATTGATTTAATCAAAATCTTCTAGTTTGTCAATTTTCAAACCATTTTTCTCGATGTATACATTTCGAACCCGAATTTTTCACTTTCTAATTAATTTGTATATAGATTTAACCTCTCTTAACTAGATAATATAATATAAAAATTGTATTTTTCTAAGTACAATTAATCACTGAACTGATGATTTTATGAATGACTTTAAAAGTTACTCACAATAAAACTATCAGTTTAAAAGAGTGACGTCAGTTTAGTGATTAACCATGGCTGCGTTCAATAGAAAAGGTAGCTCTGCAACTATAAGATCCTTTTGTACGATTGATTCTTAGTTTCTCACTAAATTTAAACGTATAAACCAATCATTCCAAAAAATCTTACAACAATTACAAAATTGCTTTTTCTACTAAACGCAATCAACAGTTGGAAAAATATAATTTTTACATTATTGTCATATTAAGCTTAACCACAAGCAAAAAATGAAGAATCGAGCCTCGGCTGAAAAGGAGCAGAGAAAGAAAGAGAAAGAGAGAGAGAGAAAGAGAAAGAGAAAGACAGAGACAGACAAAGAAGAAAAAACACGCGTGCGAGCAAACAACGGCATTGTTTACGCGCGGACGAGAGTTAGGAGGGAATTTTGCGAGAGGATGAATGGGACGGGCGACCATCGGCGTGAAGTCTGGCCTTTCGTGTCGGGAAGTAGGTATGCGACTAACGTCGGAGAAAACGTTGACTACCTGAGACCAGATACCGCAGTATTATAGTCCGCATACAAGAGTTACGGGACACGCGCGACTGCCGTCCGAGAGATTGACCGTTGCTCGCTACGTAAATTTACGTTTCTCATCACAACGAGGACGTTGCTCGCCGTAAACACGGGGAACGGCAATTGGACGAATGGGACGGATGACCATTCCACGTCGAATACGCGCCGCGAACGCAGAAGATCGTTGAGAAGAACCGCACGCGAGGAAAACGGCAGACTCATTTTCGAAACGGTCCCGAAGAATCTCGCAAGGTGGAAGCGAATCGCAGCGAGACCTGCGAGACGAACGGAGCGCCCGCGGCGTGGTGCGGTGCGGGAGACGAGCAACAAGGACGAACATACGCGACGGTTGCGACAGCGAAAGGGAGAGAAGAAGAGACGAGACAGAGAACTGAGAAAGAGGAGAATAGAAAGAAAAAGAAAAGAGGGTGGGAGCGGATACTCACCCAGAGCTCCGTGCCCCAGCTCATGTTTGCTGGGCCGGATAAACCAGCGGGCGCGACGGCGAGTAATTATCCTTCGCGACACTTCACATGTAGCGACGACGTGCGTGTCGCTTATTTCGCTTCACTGTCGTCACGCACCTCGCGGGCCACCGTATCACACTCGCGCGCACCGCGCACCGCGCTCGACGATCGAGGACGCGAGAGCAAGAGAGAGGAAGAAAAAAAAAAGAGGAGATTCGCACGAGAAACGCGCGTCAGAGATCACCCGCTACGCGCACGGTCACACGAAACATGTCCAACATGTCGCTCTCATAACCACTGACTGCCCCGTCCATCTACCTTTCCGTCGCTACCGCGGCGCCGCCGGGACTGACCGTCGCGGAAAACCGCCCGTAATTCTGACGTGGCGCACTCTAGCGGTGGCGCGCCGAGCGACTGCGCATGCGTCGAACGAAGCGCGGCGCGAAATTTGAATCGCAAGCGGAACGTTTCCAATTCAACGGCGACACAATATGTGCAGGTGCGAATGACGCAATATTGCGATTAATCAAAAGTATCATTAATAACGACCGTTATCCGCGCACGATAAATCACGGATTCTTACGTACTTATCACGTTCTCCGATTGTTTTAAGTATGCAAGTTGCTAATTAACTTGGACTTATTTGAGCTAATTATCGAAGCATAATTACGTGCGAACATTGAATTTACGTATCTTAATTCTTGCAAAATCGATTCTGCCAATTCTGTCAAAGTAAAGAAAGTAAACATTTTTTTTTTTAAATAGGAAACGTGGAATTAAATAATAAATTTATAATAAAATAATAATACATATATGTGGATAAGGATTCGTATTTGTTGAAAAATTAAGTGAATAAAAGATTGAAATTGTAGACTTATAGTTAATTACGATCGTTTATGCAATCGATTTGCGTCAACTTGTGACGTTTACTTACGTCGTTGCATTCGTCATATCTGGTATATATATATATATATATAAATTATTTTAAACCATCGATCTTAATAGCCGCGCGAACAAAATGGCGCTGGATGACTTGAGCGAAGTATCAAAGGTCGTTTACTCGCGAGATAAATAGTTAATTTTTCGTCCCTACGGACTCGATTAGCTCGTTTACATTTTCGCATAGTTTCGTGCTCGCCAACGTATATGGTCCTGGTCGAGACATATCTTATTTTTGGGCGGATTTTTCGTCGGAGGAGACATGAGTACCCATTATGGAGGTTGTACATATTTATTGTCTTGAATTATTCTCCATTCACTATTTTTTTCTTGATCAATTTTCGATGCATATGCAATCGTATATATTATATATGTTAATTAATCTCTTAAGTCATTGACAACTCGCAATCGAATTTTTACAAATAACAAATATAACCTGAGTCAAGTGTCATTTTAATTTATAAATTTTAAGATTTAGAAATTTCTTTTTTTGTATAAGAAGAAATAATTATATTATTGCGTCACTTATATAAATCATATATTGTATAAATTTTTAAGTAATGATGATCGGTAATGGAATAGTAATTATTTCATGAATAAACAGAAAATTAATAAATGTTATCCTTCAAAAATATTATCTTTCAGATCCATTTTATGAACAAAATATTTTTTATTTTTAAAGATAAATTAAAATCTGCACAATTTAGTTTAATAAAAGTTTAATAAAGAAGAAGTCTCCTTTTAGGAAGAATCTAATTGATAAGTTGACAATGATATTTTCTATTTATTCAAGAAATGATTATAATATGTGGAAAAAATATATCTTTATTCTTACTTAATAAAATAATTATCATATGTATATTTGAGATATACTAATGCTAAAATGTGTTAAATATAGGTGATAGAATTATTTAATAAGTTCAATGAGAGCCTGGGGTCATACATATTTTCAAGATGGATTGGGAGATTCATAGAGGAATATCAAACATCAAGGACGCTCTTTGTTATTGTCATGATTTTACTCCTTTTTTTCTTAATTGTGGCAATTTTTGTGATACGCAAATGGAAGAACAAAGAATTTTTACCAGAGGTGAAGGAATTTGTTGGAGTGGGCACTGGAAAGCCAAGGTTCAGGAAGAGAGACAAAGTTCTTTTTTATGGCAGAAAGATGTTGCGCAAAGTAAAGTCCATTGGTGGCCAAGTGCATGCTACTGGACAAGGGAAGAAGAGAAGAGCAGTCATGAGATTTGCTCGTCGATTATTGCAACTTAAAAAGGATACTGTCCCACAACAGCTTAAAGTATATATGGCAATAATTGACTAATAATTATTGATTTCATCTGATATGTGTCTAAACTTACATTATTTAACTTCAAGGTGTTAGAACCACCAGCTGAATATTTGGAAGAAGATTTAGGTCCTGGTGAGAGAGTACCACCAGACGCACTATATATGTTACAAAGTATTAGAGTCTTTGGCCACTTTGAAAAACCTGTTTTCTTGAAGTTATGCAAGTACACAGAGATTATGAATTTACCTGCTGGCAACACGTTATTCAAGATCGGGGATCCCGACGAGAATTTATTTATAGTACAGCAGGGTTTAGTTAATGTATATATCACTGGACCTGACGGCTCTCAAATATCATTGAAAGTGGTAAAAACGGGCGAATCAGTTACCAGTCTTCTTAGCTTTACAGATGTACTTACCGGTCATACAAGTACATACAAAACTGTATCAGCAAGAGCTGTAGAAGATTCTGTTGTAGTAAAGTTACCAATGAGCGCATTCCAAGAAGTAATGCAGCTTATCTTTCTTTCAATATTTTTTTTATATTATATAAAGTGAAATTGAGAGATATCTTATATACAATATTGATATTATTTCAGGTATTTCAAGATTATCCTGATGCTTTTGTTCGAGTTATCCAGGTCATTATGGTACGCCTGCAAAGAGTTACCTTTACCGCTTTACATCAATATCTCGGTCTTTCCGCAGAATTAGTCAATCAGGGATCACATAAGAAGAAGCAAAGTCCATTCTCTGGTTCACCAGTACGATCAAGAACTAGAGAGAACTTCGCTTCACAAAATATAGAGAGTATATCTACATTTCCAATCAGTACATCAGAAATGTATGATACCAGTGATATTTCTCATCGTGATTCAAGCACTTCTCAACCTGTGCCAATAACCATGAATCGACGGTAAAAAATTTTTTTAATCAAAATGTTATAAATTAACAATATTAATATATTAATTTATATTGTTTATAATATTAAATATATCTCTTTAATTCAATATATTAAATAGATTAAACAAATTTCGTTAAAATATTAGGTGTACAAATTTGCTTCCGCCGTTTTATTTCTATAGATGGCTTTAGTAAGTGGTGGTCAAAATAAATAGATCATAGACATCATACAATAAACTTGGGCATCTGTCAACATAATCCCATAGAAACATTAGTCGATTTGTGTCTGCATCATAAAGTTATTCTCGATTGAAAATGTCAGTTTACGAGCCAAATTCTCGTCATTTGCGGGAAGTTTTAATTTTTTGCTTCAATATGAAGAAATCTGCGGCTGAGGCTCATCGAATGCTCTCAATACTTATGGTGAGGCCGCTATTAGTGAAAGAACGTGTCGTGAGTGGTGTCATGAGTTTCAATGCTTCAAGAACGATGATTTTGACGTCCAAGATCATGCTCTGTATTTGGGGGGACCAACTCGGCGTAGTGTATTATGAACTGTTAAAAGCGACTGAAACAATCACAGGCGATCGGTATCAAACGCAATCGATGCGTTTGAGCCGAGCATTAAAAGACAAACGGCCACAATACAACGAGAGACATGATAAAATGATTTTGCAGCAACACAATGCTCGACCCCATGTTGCGAAAGTAGTCAAGACATACTTGGAAACGTTGAAATGGTCCTACCCCACCCGCCGTATTCTCCAGACGTTGCTTCCTCTGACTATCACTTGTTTCGATCAATGGCACACGGCCTGGCTGACCAGCACTTCCGGTCTTATGAAGAAGTAAAAAATTGGATCGATTCGTGGATAGCCTCAAAAGATGACCAGTTTTTTCGACACGGGATTCATACACTACCCGAAAGATGGGAGAAAGTAGTGGCCAGCGATGGACAATACTTTGAATCATAAATGTATAACCAGTTTTTTACAATAAAGCCTCGAATTTCGGAAAAAAACGGCGGAAGCAAAGTTGTACACCTAATAACTAACTGGACTAATTCTTTGGGATTATTTCATAGAAAAAGCACTGTCGACTGGAAGAATCAGGGTTCTAATGTACAAGCTAGTCAGAATTCGCCAGAGATGGTACCAGAATGCGACTCTCATTGGGCAACATCACCACTTATAGCGATGCCTCAGTCCACACATGGATCACATTCAGAAGCCTCTCATTCTTATTCTAGCAAAAAGCGCCAAGTTAATGAAGCAACGCAGCAACAACAACAACAGCTGGATGAAGCACAGCTTGTACAAATAGCCACAGATGCATTCGTTCATGAACTTGGTATAGAGGATGAGGATATGCTTAAAAACAAAGTACAGATCAGAGAAGTGCCGGCTGGTACTTATCTGATGAAAGAAGAATCTCATAAGGTTTGTCATCTTTATCAAATACAAGCTATATATTCCATATAAAAGGAAACGATTTTTTTTATAAAGATATTGTAGAAATATTACCAAAATTTAATTGTGATACAGGATGTTGCACTTGTATATGTGCTTTCGGGCTCGCTAATAGTAAGCCAACGCGTATCGGAGGGCCGAGATGCGGGCCAGGAAGTGCATATGTTTAGTGCTCATCAAGGCGAAATTGTTGGTGGTTTAGCAGTGTTAACTGGCGAACCATCTTTTTATACAATCAGAGCAAAACATGCCAGCCGTATCGCGTTACTCAGCAAATCGACATTTTTCGCTATCATGCGAGATCAACCTACAGTCGTGTTGCACGTGGCACATACAGTTGTTCGTAGATTAAGTCCTTTCGTAAGACAGGTAAGAATCTGTAATAAAGAAACTCCTATTAAAAGAAAGAATTTTTAATGAATATATTATTGTTTCTTGGACAGGTGGATTTCGCTCTCGATTGGTTGTTCCTTGAAAGC